GCTAATAGCCTAAATGTATGCTAAGTAAATTGCCTCAATTATAAATGCAGCAATAACAGTGAAGCCTTAAACATGCAGGTGTTTGTGTGATTAGAAGCATCGAAGCATATAAAATTGTGATTTACATAGCGTAACGGTGAACCATATGTACTCGTGCATACCTACATACATACATTTGGTCGTGTGAGGAGACGTCGAGTGCCGTTGTTTTGGCGAGGCTTCACATTTTCAAACGCACAATTAATGAAGTAAACAAACTTACGAGTTCCTTTAATTTCAATTTTATTGCAGAAAAAATTGTTTTTGTTTTTTTATTTATTTTCTACCAAAACATGTGTAACGTTTGTTTGTTTTTCTGGATTTGTTGTTGATATTAAAGGAATTTGGTGAAAATTCAGTTAACTGAACTTTTTTTGTAGAGAAAAAGTGCAAATCGTTGAAAAAACCTGCCTATCAATAAAAGCGCGCCTTAAGCTTGGTGGAAGCTTCTGGAGAGAAAATTAGTCAACGTATAACTTGGTAAAGTTATCTGACTGAACTAAAAAGCTTAAGTTAAAGCTCGAATTATGTGAAAGCTTTGCTCACAGTACGTATAAGCTTAGTGAAAGCTCAATTGTTTTTCGAAATTTTAACTTACTAGAATGGCACGCTGAAGTGAGAGTGTGAAAGCTTTGCTCACAGAACGTAAAAGCTTAATGGAAGCTCAATTTTCTTTTCCAAATTTAAACTTACTGAAGTGTGATTTGAAGTTATGCGAAAATTTTATTTACAGAATCTATAAGCTTAAGACAAAGGCTTTGAATAGTTGTAAATTTAAAAATTGGACATACCGATTTTCAAGTGAAAGCTTCCGTGAAAGCTCTAATTATCTCAAATCAGATTTACTTGACTGAAACGCTCAAGTTAAAGCTCAAATTGTATGCAAATTTGACTTACAGAACATAGTGGTGGTAAAGCCTTACGTGATAGCTCAAATTATCTTCATTTTAACTATCTCCATTTTAGCAATGGCAACATAAAGAAACTAAAGCATATCTATATATAAACTTTCATAAAAAAATTGTCGTGCTATTGAGTTGAGCACGAATTGGAAGTTAAAGCTCTGGAGAAGTATGCAAGTTGAATGAGACATTAGAACACACCTTCTGTCCTTAGTTCAATATAAAATGGACACTCATCTGGACCCACTAAAGATCGACGGGTCTATTTAAGGCACATCAGCCGCGTAACCTAACCTTAATTTTTATGAAAGTTGTTTTCAAACCTTTTTGGAGTTTAGATAAAAATTGCATGCAAGTTTTTTGTTTAAGTTTTTAGGACGCTTTTATGCAAGCTTTTAATAAAACTTTGTATGAAAGTTTTTTTTAGTTTTCATTAAAAATTTTTGAAAGCATTTTTTGTGTTTATGTTTTATGAAGGTTTTTATAAAAGTTTCTATGAAAATTTGTGAAAGCTTTTTTTAGCTAAAATATACATTTCAAACGCTTTCTTTATCTTCCAACAAAAAAGAATGTATTTATTTTTTTAAGCAATTTGTAGTTGAAATAAAACTTTCACTTTCACTTTCACTTTCTTCGCGAGATTCTTTTCCACTTTGATCTTAAGATAATATTTTTCTAAAAGCCGAATTTCGCCAGAATTTAAATATTTGCCCAAATTTCGAATTTTCAAATCTCCAGCAAATTACCAGCGCACGTTTTCCAAACTAAACCTCAAATCAAAATATTTACGCAAAAAAATACCGAAGCGATGTATCATAACATCGAGTTCGGTATGGCGGCTGGTAATACCGAGGAAATTTATAGTTGACATACAAATAAATACTGCAAAATGAGTGATGAGCGAAATGAAATAAAAAATGAAAAAAAGAAATAAATAAAAAAAAAACTTTCTGAGTGAAAAAAAAAATTTAAGGAGGTAAAAACAGCAAATAAAAATTCTTTTGCGCTCTTGAGTTGCTTAAATACGCACGGAATTCGCACAAATACAAAAATTTGTAAGCAAAATATTTTTTTTTTCAAAAGTAAACATTTCTTTCGCGCAATTAGATGCGCTTTGATTTTTTTTTGTATTTTGTATTTTAATTTTTTTTTTTAATTTATTATTAATTTAAAATTTTTAATTCATTCTTAATAACCTCTGGGTCGTAAATACTGAATCACTTTGTCAAATTTGCTAACGGTTCAAGGCCATCACTGTTGACCTTTGCTAACTGACATTGTTTACAGTTAGGTTTGGATGTCAATTTACGCGGCAAGCGGTGCGGCCAACGGCATTAAATATTTTGTGTTTACAGCGATGCTTATCGGTGCCACATGCAGCCATGTAAAGTGCCATGAAATAGAAATTAGTTTCTTTTTTTTTTGCATTTAATGTAAACAAAACTACTATTTACCAATGGCGTCGTCGGTGGAGCAGCAAGCTTTTGATGTCAAAAATTTTTCAAATTTCCGAAAAATGTTTTCAAACACTTTATGGTATCCTGTGGATGTTGCGGTAAGTGAGTTTGCACTTTTTTCATTCACATTTAAGGAAGTTAGTGAATTTTTAAGCACTTTATTGGTTTATAGAAATTTATTTCCGAATAAAAAGTTTTTTTTGAAAGTCAAAAAGTCTAATTTAACTTGTTTTGGACTTTTTTTTAACTTTTTGCTTTGTTTTAATTATAGATTTTAATTTTTTTATCTCTCCTTTATATAATAAACTATTTTCTTAAGTTTTAAGTTTAAGTTTAAGTTTAAGTTTTCAACACAAGTTCTCACTTTAATTTGTAGGTGACTATTTTATTAATTTTTTGTCCAATTTCAACTTCTGCTTAAGTTTTTTTTTTTACTTTTAATTTTTAATTTAGTATTTTTTTTATTTTGTAATAAATTTTAATTTTTTTATATTGTATATTTAATTTAATAATTTTTTTAAGTTTTTAATAAATTTTGATTTTTGATTTTAATTTTATTATTTAAATTTGTTAATTTAATAAATTTTATTTTATTTTATTTTTTAATTTTTTTTATATTTTCATTTTTTTTACCACAATTACTCACTTTAATGTGTCAATGGATTTTTTTTTATTTTTTTACTTTGTATATTTAATTTAATAATTTTGTTAAGTTTTCAATTAATTTAAATTTTTAATTTTAATTGTTTTTTTTTTTTTGTATTTGTTAATTTAATTATTATTTTTTATTTATTTTTTAACATTTTTTAATTTTTTATTATTTTTTTTACCACAATTACTCACTTTAATTTGTCAATGAATATTATTTGTTAATTTTTTTTTTTAGTTTTTAATTTAATTATATATATTTAATTTATAAATATATGTATTTTTTTTTTTAATTTTTTTACTACAAATTCTCACTAAAATACACCAGTGTATTTATATATGTATATACATATTTTAGTTTTTTTTATATAATATTTTTTGAATTAAATATTTTTTTTTTATTTTTTAATGCTTTATTTTTTCACAAATTCTAAATATTTTATAAAAAATTGAATTGTTAATATTTTCATTTTAAACAATTTCCACCTCAAAACTTTTACTTTTCGCCAGTTTCTAACATAAATTCTTTTTTCAAAAATTCTCACAAAACAATTTCCGCCTTTTGCGTGACAGAACTAAGCGCGTTCGCTTGCCGAAAATAACTAAAGAACTGATGAATCGCATCGGACAATCAGCAGCCAAAAGCCAACAACCAACAAACAACAACCAACAATCAACAGAACTAGTCAGCGGCGGCGTCTAGTCGCCTACAAACAATGATGACTAGATACGAAACTCTTTATTCCGTGAGAGCGCTCAAAAATCCGCATTTTTTATAACATTTCTGAACAGTGCCACTGTGATGGAAAAACGACTTATTTGGATTTTTAGGTATATTTTGGGTATTTTATTACAAACAACGACGTCTTTAATTGCAATTTCACTGAAAAATTTCATTGAGAAACAATTCAGTATTTAATTATATTAAGTTTTAGTAATAAAATTACAATAATTTCTTTAATATTTACTGCTGAAGCAAATTTCTTTTGAAACAAAAATAATGGATTTTTTTATTGGCATAGTGGCACTGGTGCTTTTTGCACATCAGATGTTGAATGTTCCCCGATCTGACACTGCTGCCAACATTAGAATGTGAGATGGGGGAACGCTCTCAGCTGCGATTTGAGTAAGTTTCGTATCTAGTCATCTTTGCTACAAAGGCAGCGTCGTCATCTTCATTCCATTCGTAGACAACCATCGTTTGGTTGTGTTGCGTGCAACAAATGACGGCGCAAAACGGAAGCAAATCAAAACATAAAAACGAATGCCGACAATAACGAAAGCCGCACGAGACACAGGGCAGCGTCGTCGACAACAATGGAATTTATGAATGAAAGCTTGCACGAGTACTTTAGTTAGGCAATGGATGTGAAGGGATGACAGTTAGGCACTTCCGCCAGGGTTGATTTTTTGAAAAGCTCTATTATTGCGGAGCTTTTGAAAAAATGACCGTTAACTTTAAATGTAATCTACAAAGCTGCGGTTAGAGACATATTTTCTTCGTTTCTAACCTTAAAATTTCAATTTTTAGTTTAGACTACCGCAGTAGCCGATCAGTACGTACTACCCTTCGACCAACGTTTAAAACTCTCCCCTTGGACATGAAATAGAGGCGACCTAGAAAAAACTATCAATATGTCGAAAAAACTTCAAGAAGCGCTCGCCCGACAACTGATTCAGTGGATATAAAGCGTCAATTACCCGTAAAACCCCCATCTATCGCAATAGGGGATGAGTGAGTCCAGATAATTCGTAAATCAAAATATTTCGAGACTGAGGTTTCGATCTCAAGCGCTCAACTCCTTTATTGGTTGGTGGCACTGTTAAGTGCTGTGTTTTGTCCTTCATGCTGTAACATAGGATTGCCGCAGCTTTTACCCAAAGACTCAAGCAAAAGCCAATCTTATTTACTTCATATTCCGTTAACAGATTTAATTTTATTTTTTCTTTTAAATAAATAAGTGATTAGCTTAAGGACTACTTAAAATAAAGGCTCACGCTGAGCAATAAACGCCATCTCACACTTTCAACTTTTCTCCAAAGAATTTCGAAAAGCCGGGCATCCTTGGATTTCAGCGCTAGACTTTTGCAATACTTAAATAAATTAAATGCTAAATAAGCTTTACTCATAACTCTCTAGCCTTAATAGTGAGAGAATGTGCGGTGGTGATGATGTTGCGGCGTATGTTGCGCAGCTAAGTTCGCAGCTTGCGCGAAAATGTGTTCGATCTCCGAATCCGAGAGGTTATCGAAGAGACCAGCTTGCTGTTGTTGTTGCTGATATTGTTGTTGCTGCTGTTGCTGCTCTCCAGCAACTGGTGGCAAGTAAGCTACATGTGTGAGTAAAGAAAGAGCAAATCATTAAAAACCTTTTTTAAGAACGCCTACGAATCCCCTTGAAGCATTGTTCTTACCCTCTCCTGGCGAGCTACCATAGGGTGGCAATAAGGTCAGCGCTGGTCGATTCACGCTGGGTGGTCCATACGAGAGTATTGGCTTCCAAGGCTCTTCAGCACCTTGAACGGCTGGCAACTCAGGCTCCGGCTGTGGTGCTGCTATTGGCCGTATATTAGGAATTTGTGGTGCCGCCTCTGCACTACCACCCTCTGGTCGCTGCGAACCGGGCAATGGCACAAGTGGGGGAAATTGCGCCTCCGGCTGCACAGGTATACTTACGAAGGCGGGTGTTTGCTGAGGCCGTGTGGTGGGCGGTTGAACACCGAGTGGGAATATCGGGTTGGGGTTGAAAGCAGTCGGGCGTATCGTCGGTATGCTTACTGTTGGTGTAGTGGGTACTGTAGGTGTGGTAGGAACCGCAGGCACTGCAGGTATAGATGGAAACGCTGGCGCTGAGGGGAACGTTGGGATTGCTGGTAAGGCAGGCGGTGACGGAAAACTTGGTACGGCAGGGAAATTCGGTGTAACCGGAACGGCAGGAATGGCAGGCAGTGGTGGTACGGGAGCAGCGGGCACGGCAACGGGGATTCGTTGTGGTTGCACTAAAGTCGTCTGGAAATAATGAGGATAATGATGTAACGGCTGTACAGATGTAAAGGGATGAGTCGTGTGTTGTACTTGCACAACAGAGTGAACCGGTTGCACTGGTTGTACCGGCGCTAGAGCGGGTAATGGCTGAAGTGGTTGCACTGGTTGTAGTGGTTGCACTGGTTGTAGCGGTTGCAATGATTGCACTGGATGAACGTGAGCAAGTGGCTGAACGGGTGTCACATGCGGCACAGCAACAATAGGTTTTTGATGGAATCGTGGATAGTTAACGCTATAAGAGGATACGACCGCGCCACCAGGACGCAACACAAATGGCGTGGCAGGAGCAGCGGAAGCAATAGCAGGTGCAATTGGAGTCACAGCGGGCGCAACGGATGCCACTGGAGCAAATGGAGTCCCATGTGCATGCGGTAATGTGGGCACGGCGGAAGGAGCTAAAGCTGGCACAGCAGCAGCACCAAATCCAATAGCAGTGTTACCCAAACCTATGGTCGAACCACCACCGTAAGTGGCAACAGGAAATGCAGCGTGTCCAGCGGCAAATTGTTTTATATGGTAACCACCAACGCTTGGATATTTGAGGAAAGTAGGAGCATGCGCATGAGCGACATAAGCGGGCGCATGTGCTGCGTAAGCAGGGCCAGAACTAAAGGTAGGTGTGCTTGCATAAGCGGGTGTGTGTGCGTGCGCATCTATATTTGAGAATGCAGTGGCGCCAGGCAAGTTCAAACTGTAGCCATAGTGAGCAGCGTAGGCTTTGGGCCAGTACGAGGCATGTGCAGCATGAGCTCCATATCCTAAGCCACCATTGTAGTAGATGCCACGTTTGTGCACATCCTTGCCGACATCTTCTTTGCGCTGCAGCTCAACGGACGCTGATGATGGCGAAGCTGAGGGCAATTCTGTAGCTGAATTTGACGAAGTTTTCTCTTCAATTGTTGCATCTTCTGTCTTCTTTTCAAACACTTGAGTATCCTTTTGTTGATCGTTTTCTACAGCACGCTTCTGACCATATCTACCAAGAGGACGAACTTTCACTGCGCTGCTAGAGGCGATTGCCGCCAATAGTGTTAAAGCTATTAATAATTTCACTTTCATTGCTGTCGATTAAAGCAATTCAATGCGATTATATAACACTTGATTTAAATGGACAGCGATTTCGTCACAAAAGTCTCACGTATAAAATAATGTCAAATAAAATGCGTAATCCAAACTACGACGCGTACGCGTCTGCTCTTCGTTTAACAATAAATTCGACTTCCTACGATGTTGGTGTATTTATAAAGCGGATATGCAAGTGGTCGTCGGTGGGTGGTTGAGCGCGCTGCACACGCGTATTGCATGCGTCAGTTAGACAAGAGATACGAGTATTCATACGAAGTTGCGACTCTTCAGGTACTTTGCTTATAATACGCATTGCCAGCGAGCCACACAGTGTTACGTTTCATGCTTCCAGCCGGATTTTGAAATCAATAGCGTGTCGAACACGTACCTACACAGCTAAGCTAACTCGTGTTTATGTGTGAGTCTACCTTTAATTTCCATTTTTTGGCTTGAAAACTATGTAATACTACTTAAATTCCAACTGTTGTACGCCGAAACGTCTCAATTCTGCAGCAACAACCAAATCAACTAGCTGGCCAATACGCCAACTAATCGACTCAACTTGGGTTAAGGTGCTAATACATAGTTTAGCTTATTATGCATGCGTCACACGTACACGCGGTTACTCACTTATGAATATATTGACGTTGTTAGGCCGTTGGTCTCATGCGCCTGTATTTATGTTGTGCATTTTTTCTTTTTATTTGTTTTATTTTACTTCTACGAAGTCTACTTCACTGCCTACTTTTGACTTAGCAGTCGTTGATCGTACTTACTTGACAGCTATAGTCTCAGCATTGGCCTTGCGATTGGCATTCTTTCCGCGAAATCGAAAGTGAGCGAATTTACTCGGTACTTATAATCGATAGTCTGCGCCGCGCAATTTCTTTTATTACTTTTCGCGGCAAGAATTGAAAATTTCGTTTTCACGCACTCAAAGCAAAGCGAAGGAATCAAGGACGCTTCCAATTTCTACATCGCAGTAATGATTTTAATTGTATTCAGTATGTAAATGAAGGTAGTTTTAAATAGTTAAATAGGCTGAAGGAGCAAATGAATTATTTCTTTGTCTTTCTCTTAAATTTTGTTAATGTTTTAAAATTGGTCAGTTGCTTTCTTAAAAAAAAACTCATATAAATACCACAAATATTTCCCAAATTCCTAAATACCCTCTTTTATCTGTTAAAGATCTCCTTAAAGACCCCTGCTCTGCCGAACATAACAAGTAGCATTAGCTACAAGCGCTTAAAAAAATAAAAATGATGTCAACGTGCATCAATCTGCCAACGACGAGATCTGGGACAACGACTTGCTTGCAAAACAAATTAACAAATGTGCTCTAGTTTGCTAAATTTGATCTACAGGCCAAACCAATAGGTATCTCTATGAAATGTAAACAAATTACAACATACTCACGCCGCGAAGACGATTAAAGCAAAGTATCTGGAGACTTCAAACTCCATACCAAGCAAAGGCACTAAGAAAGACGAAAGCTTATAGGTCTGCAGCGCTACAATGGATACTCAATGAACAATTAAAATTCACTACACATTCGCACACAGCGCCAGACACGGCATATTAAATGTAGAAACGTACGCGCGCACGCTCAGTTACGCCCAAAAACAAGCAGCAAAAGTGACAGCGAGCAATAACAAGTGTTCAACGTGCAATCGATACAGCAAAAACAATACCGAAATTGGTAAGTTATCATTAAAATGATGTTTTTTGAATTGACAATGTACACAATTTGATTTGACGAAATTTGACTGCTTTGATTATGCAGTTTTGTTTGTTGACGGGAGGTCGGATTGGTGAAAGCTTTGAAAGCCTTGCATGCCTCAATCGTTTAGCATTAATAATTGCATTTTAAAGTGTTTGAATTTTTTGCATATTTGGAATGGCACAAGGTTTGTAGTGGAGTTACCGTTAAAGTAAAATGGTTTAGTAAGAAAAAATACCACAAATTGTATACATTAGAGGCCTCTGGTCATGTGAATCTTGGTACAAAATGCTAATTTCACCACCCCTAAGCAACTACTCAAGCTCCTAGAAGAATGATCATTGTGTGAAGAAATGTTTGATGTTAATAATATAAACATTTAGTTTTAATAAACGTGGTGCTATACCTTTTTCTTTACATTTTATAATAACATCATATTTCGCAATAACCGTCACTATTCATATCACTGGAACAGTGGTTTTACATCAACTTCTACTAGCTACCTATTATTAACTTCGACTTACCAAACCCACTATCAAAATTATAAATATTTGTTACAACGCGGCAAATCAGTTCCAAAGCTTGGCCCAGCCTAGCCAAAGCCAACCACAAAGCCTCTGCGAACTCACGAATTGACACAAAATAAAAAAAACGCAGACAAAGCAATTTTGTGAGACAAATTTGTTTTAACTCCAAACATCTTTATCAAGAAGACTGCTTCATTAGCTATTTAACGTCACCTTTTGTTTGCAGGAACATCCTTTGCCACAGCACTTACATGTTTAGAGTAATTTTGCTTCACACTTTTCTACTTTAATTTGAGTTTTACGCATTCATTGTATTACTTTCTTAACACACTTTTGGAAATAAACATAAAATCAGTTAATAAATACATATTTTAATTCACATAAAACAATTTTGTACTTTAATAAGAACGGAAATAGCAAAAGTTTTAAACGAACTGTCAAACATGACGAAGGAAGATGTCATGTTTGGACACAGGGTGAAGCGTATAACTGAAAGTTAAGGACTAGACAAAGATATAAAGGAGAAAATTATAATATTTTATAAGCAATGTTGATTTATAATGCGGAAAGTTTTACTTTGAAATATCGCTAAAAAGTGGCAATGCTAATCAAAAAAGTTTGACAGCTGAATTTAGCAAAAAACAATGACACATATTAAGGTGTCCAAAAAAGTTTGTGCGCTTAAATTATATAACTTCTACCATACATATTAAGCATTATTTATAAAATAAATATATATTATAAGCGCTCAGCGACCTTATGGACGTTTCCAATTGTTTTTATTGCTTTGTAAAATTCAGTTTTAGGCGCTATGCATCTCTTTCTATTGTCGGTTTATATTTATATATTTATTTCTTCGTTTGCATATCTAACATTGGTTTGTTTGCGGCCGTGCATGAGCAATAAATATAAATATTACGCCAGCTCCCATATATGTATGTATGCGAGCGTTTAGTTGCTCTGCTGCTGAAAATTTCACCTTTATTTGGGTGTATGCTACAAGAAATTATAACTTGCATGCATACTAACAATAAAAGGCTGTACATATGTACATACAACTTGCATATGTACGTGAATGCATGCAATTCTAATATAATTATCCATCTTTTTATTAATTTTGTTATTAACATTTGTCACACTGTGCCAGTACTACATGGCGTATGAGTAATATTAGTTGAAGGGGAGGGAAACCGAAAATGTTTGACAGTTGCAAGCGGAAATAAAAATGACTATTTTTTAATTTGTTCAAAGCAATGTGAAAAAGGTGTTATTATATGTTAATTAAAACTAGATACACCTGATTGGTAGTATAAAAATGGATATTATAAGATTGTGCGTCTGCTATTTGGTTATATTGTGAATTGCCCGGCAGTGCATCCGGGCAGAAATGTATGCTTGAAAATGGGTTTTAGTATATTGTTGACTAATTTTTCAAGTGCCATCGCCTCTCTACAAAGAATATTAATCTCGGCGCATAGCCTTTCTTATGAAAACCAGCCGTCAAGAGCTGGCAAGAGCTAAAGTTATTGGCCGAAGCTTTAGCAGTAAAAATATGAAGAGGCGAACCACAAATCGGCGCGAAATCACTAAGCGACTGTAAGGTGGTTTTGCATTGGCCACGACATATTTAGACTTTAAAAGAAAACTATACAAATTACAATATTTTATGGATTTCTTTAATTTGATACACACCAATTATTTTAGCGCTCATATAAACAATTAGCGTACGTGAGCTGATTTCCTATTAATTCAAATACTAATTGTACACATACATACATACATACATATCTATAGTCATACATACAAACTGGCAACAAAATATTTTAATAAAAATGTTTGACGTTTAGGAATTGCAAAATATTGGTCAACTCAAAAAATGCCAACGCACGCTGCATTTATTAGTAAATTTTATGAACTACTAATACGCCCAGTGATTTGAAATGCCAAAAGCCAATTGCATTTAGTTTTATCATCAACATTTATACAAAATCGAGTACGTGGGAAAGTTGCAGCAGCAGAGGTCGAGTGACTTACCTGGCAGTGACAAAAATTTAGCTGCTGGCTTAGTTTAATCATGATAGGAGCAATAAGGTTTGTAATGCAGCTACATATGTATGTGAATCATTCTAACATTCTTCTAATGTACACAATAATGCAACAATTCACACAGTAGTTTAGTTCTAAATTTATAAATAATCTTTATATCTCGTTACAACTTAACACTAACAAATGGTAAGAAAAGAAATGTGTGGACTATTTGTTTTGGTGTTTACAGAAAAGTAAATAATTTTATAACTTAAAACCAGAGTGTATTGCCACAACGCCGAAGGTTAGATTCTCGTAGTAGACCAATTCAAATCCTGCGTCCTCAATCATTTTCTTGAAATCCTCTTGTCTTGGAAATTGCCTAATGCTCTCGACCAAATATTGATATGGTTGCCATTGGCCAGCCAAAATTTGTCCCATTGGTGGTATTACTTGAAATGAATATTTATCATATATCCATTGCAATGTGCTGTTCGTTAGATGACTAAATTCCAAACACATAAAACGTCCACCTGGTTTCAAGACGCGATACGCCTCACGCAATACCTGAAAATCAAAGAGTGATGATAATTAAGAATTACACAATACATCATTTGGTGTCACATCAAACGCATATGAGCCGCGAAAAATAAAAATAAAGGAAAACATACAACAACAACTACTCACTCTATCAATGTGCGTGCAATTGCGTATGCCAAAAGCGATTGTATACGCTGTAAAACTGTTATCTTCGAATGGTAATTGCTCTGCATCGGCTTGTTGCCAATTTATAGTTAAAAACGGCAATTCCTCTTCAGTAAGACCTTGTAACCGAGCACGCTCTTTACCTACATCCAGCATATGTTGGTTAATATCTGATATTGTGACATGACTATGGCGTTTCAAATTATTTTTCTGTGCGGCAAGCTGACGCATATAACGAAAAGCAATATCGCCTGTACCGCCTGCCATGTCCAGTAGCCGAACACCATGCGTAGGCCATAAGCGATCCATGAAAATATCCTTCCACAAACGATGTACTCCAACCGACATAGCATCATTCATAAGATCATACGAGCTGGCGACATCCTCAAACACTTTGTGTACTGTATTGAAGTAAATTTTGTTGGGAATTAAGTAAACATGTTAAGCTTTGTTAATTCATACAATATTTATGAGTTACCTTTTTTATCCTTCTCACTTTCTTTCACCTTTTGGAAACCGAAATGCGTTGTGCGTTCTTCATCTGCGTTTGCTTTCTTGCCATTATCATCGCCACTCGCAGCACCAGCTGCGGCTTGTGTAGTCTTTTTACGCACTTGCGCTAATAGCTTATTGCAGTTTTCATTAAAATTTCCATGTTTTATAGAGTTGTTTAAGATATTTAATTTACAACGTCGCGCGAAATTCATATTATCTCTCTTTGAGTTTTTCTCCTTACATAAAAAAAAACAAAGAAGCAATGAAATAAATTCTACCTGACAAACATCTGTTTGTATGCAACAGCTGAGTACAAGGTGCACAAAATAGCGATGATTAATCGATAGTATGAGAGTTCTTATCGCTTACAAAATAATTTGCATGGCAGGGTTGCATTTGTATAGAAAATTACTGGAAATTCAAAAATTAAAAAAATTAAAATCAGAGCATAATAACAATTGAAACGGGAAATCGAATTAAATACCGTTGATTACAAACTTATACTAAATAATTACGCTTAGAAGAGAAAAAGTGTTCAAATATGTTTTTTTTTGAAATTGAATACGACGGTGTTGTGGTTCTAAGAGATGTAGCTGTAACGGAACTGTATAAATGCAACTGCAACTATTTTAGACCACGCATGTATGTATGTGTCTCACTTCAACACCAACCTCAACCTCCACCTTGAAATTTATTTTAATACTTCCGTACTATATGGACGTATCTTCGGACCATCCCGAGCCATTTTCAAAACTAATGGAAACTCATTTCATTTTAACTATTTCGTAGTTTTCATATTATTCTTTGCATTTATTGATTTTTGTTATGGTTTGTTATAGATATCTATGTATATATGTATGTATGTTTGTTTTTATTATTTTTTACTATGAATCATTTTTGATATAGATATATGTATGTGTATATTTTATTTGTAGTTTTGTAGTTGCTTAAGTTTTAAATTAAATATATTTATCAATACAAAAACAAAACAAAGTCCATTTATAAGCGTTTTCATTTCATATCATGTATGTATGTATGTTTTAATTATTATATTAAATAAACTTGGCTTTTCTTTTTTCTTCTTCTTCTTCTTGACACGCAAAAATCATTGCAGCGAGGCAGTTGATAAATGAAATGAATTTTGCAATTTGTTTTTTTTTTGTCTTGTTGTTTTTTTTTCTTTTTTAACATAAGGAATAATATTTTAAAATATATAATATTTGTAATAATAGATAATTAAAAGTAAAAAGTAACATTAGGTAACTATTTAAATACAAGACTATAAACTACGTAAGTAATGTGTGCGTTAGATGCCTCCCCTCCATCAGCACACGGCATACACACGCGAAAAATACACAATTATTGTACATATTTAATTTTGTTTTTTGTGTTGTTGTGTGTGTTTTTTGAAGTATATTAGCAATTTGCAACCGATTATGCACTTGCACAGTGGCTGCATATAATTTGCGATTTCCTTTTTTTGCTGCTTTTACATTTCTTTTGCTACTTGTTTTTGTCTCTTTTTTTCAGTTTGCTTTGCATTAAATATTATTTTAGTATTAGTTTTTGTTTTAATTTAAATTAACATTTACAGTGTAGAAGTAATACAACCCACATACTGTTGTGTATGCGAATATTTTACCGCTAAGGTGTTTTTTTTTACTGTTGCTGTGCCGACGCGACACAGCTAACAAAATACAGTCTATTTACTACACACTAAGAAGTTGGCTTAGGGCAAAAAAAAATAATAATTATTATATGGATAATTCATTCTTTTTTGCTTTCAACATTTTTGTTTGCCGCTTTTAAGCGCTTTTTCTTCTATCATTCTTTATACATTTTTTTAGCTCCTTCCTTCCCTCACAAAAGCTTAAAAATTCACCTCCTCAATACGCTCTGCATCGGATTTGAGATCTTGCAGCAGCAATTCGTGGCACGACTTCGGTATTAGTGTTCCGACAATTTTTTCACCTTCGGTGGTTTTCATACGTATCACTTGCATTTTATTATTGGCATTGCGCATGGCCAATACATGTTCGACGCGCGTCCAAACGGACAGTACAGAACCGGCGAGTACATAGTAGAGACGTTGACGTAGGCCAACCTGGAAGAGAGACGAAAACGAGAGTGAAGTCAAAATTTGAAAAATCAAAAAAAAAAATTGTTAAAATAATTTCTTCTTTTTTTTTAAAATCCCGCTTGCTTTCCTTACTTTCTCTCTCTTCGCCACACTTCATTTCATACCCCACACTCACTCACCTCACATTCATTGCCCAAATTGACATTGCGGCAATTGCCATTCCAGTAGGCGTGCGAACAGGTGTTCACCGACGCGTCATACTGTTGCGTCCAGTGCGGCTCGGCTTCCTCGCTGGGCACTTTCTTATATTTCTTATCCAACTCCGCCAGCGATTCGTGGCGCACTTGTAGACCAGTGTTGGGTCGATACACTTGGAACATCATATCTTTCTTACTCACACCCTTCTCCTTCTTCTTGCTATTCGATTGTTGCTGCAGTGGGGTTTGTGGTGTTTCAATTTCAACAGCCAATATAGCGGTACGTTTACCGTTACGCACTTGATGTGAGACATAGAAGCCCTCATATTCACTAATCAAATCGGAATATCTGTGGAAAATTGAGGGAAAGCATTAAAAAAAATATTTCAAAATTTGAGGTTATGTTTGAAAAAGCCGTTATTCAACGATTTGTGTTGCGTGCGTGCGTGCTCTGCAGCTGAGTCCGAAGACTGCTGCTTTGGTCGTTTTACGTTACTACTACACTCACTTGTCAATTGCTTCCTGCCAAATCATGCCGCGTTCAACGCGCACTGTATGCAGCTCGGCTGGTGCTTTACCCGTGGCGTGTTTACGTATGAAACGGACGAGTTTGATGCGTGTTACATTTTCACCGGCGGCACCCAGATCTAAGAGGGAGAGAGGGAGAATTTTTTATTATAAAAAAAAATATGTATATAATTTCTTAGTTTTGTTTTTTTTTTATTAAAAAAAATAATCATTTTATATTCAAAATAAAGTTTTTTTTTACCTTAAGGATTTTTTTAAATTTTTCAGTTTCAAGTTTTTTTTTAGCAACTCACCTAAAATGCCCAAGTCAAAGCGCCCGCCGCGTTTCGCCTGATTGATGATCGCGTTCAGTGTGTCTGTAAAATACTTGAAAAGCCTGTTCTGCAGCTCGACTGGCATGCCGAGTATGCGATTCAAGAACTTCGAAATGTTGTTGTACTCTTTGTCCAGGCTAAGCACGCCCGGGTTTGTCTCAGTATTGACAATGATGCCCACACCCACCAAAGCGCCGGCAATATCTTTGAAGAAGTCGCCCTTGTAGTCGGTGGGTGGCGGTACCAAAGGCGTCTCATAACCCATAATAGTCTTCATAACGGTCTCCAACGCGTTGCGTCCATATTTGTTGTCTATATTGAATTGGGACAAGTCGCGGGTTTCGGTGGCACGGCGATCTCCATGTGTCAATGCGCCCAACGATTCCAAACGCTTTGCGACTGTCGATGCGAAACGGCGCTCACCCGCCAAATCGGATATGAGGAAAATGTATTCGGGCGCATTGACCTGATTCGAACGATGTGTGCGTCCGAACTGTTGTATAGCGCGATCGGCAGACCATGGCAGCTCAAGTGTGATGTGTACACGTCGTCGCTGATTGCGTACGCGTCGATCACTCTGCAGCGAAATACCGCTAGATGCGGCCTCGGAGATGATTGCCACATCTTTTTCACCATCCATGAAACGTTGCTTCTCTGTGATGTTGAGCGTTTCAAGTGGCACGTCTTGCTCGGAACGCGACTCATACTGTATCGAACCGTCTTCCGACTGCACCACGCGACCCTTGCGACCCGTCATTTCGGCCACATTATCTGGACCGCCGAGCTCGTCAATTAACTGGTCTAGTGTGTTCGGGGGTAGGCGCTCGCCCAAGCGTTCTATCTTACGCAACAATTCCTCCTTCATGCTGCAAGCGCGTTCGATGGCATCTTTGGGTGGTGGGCCATAGTTTAGTTTGATGCCATTGACGCCAACCTGCGTAACAGTGCCCTTCAGTTCTTGCTTCTTTTGCAGCAGATCTTGTATGCGATCTTGTGTGCTAATTGGACCTTTACGTTTAGGCGCTAACGCAGTGGCAGCTGTGGTGGTTGAGCCGTTCGTGTTGGCAGCAGTCGGAGTGTTAGCAATTGCATTGCTGTTGCTATTGGCTGTGGTTGCTGACTCCTTCGGTTTAGCCTTCTTTTTGGCTTTTTTCTTTGAACGCGCCACCCATGGATCATTGTCACTATCCGAACCGCTGAAGAAGGGATTGAAGTCGGAGGACTCACAGCTATCTGAATGCGCGCCCACATCTGACTCCTCGGACTCGGAGTGGGACATTTTATAATCGCTATCTTCCGATTCGTTTTGTGAATCTTCATCGGAATTATTCCACGAGTTCTTACGCATTTTCTTTGAATGCGAATCCCCGCGCCCCTGCTTGCGTTTGCTGCCCACTGTGCTGGAAGAGGAGGAGCAGGGTTCGTCTTTAATGCTGGCCGACTCGCGTCTGCTTGTGACCTCCTCAATTATACTCTGTATAGACGTCTTCTTATCGTCACTATTGTAGCCGCCCAGACCGAGTATGCGATTGATGCGATTGCGATCGGGCGCGGGAAAATGCTTTTCCACCAGTGATTGAAAGACGCCTCTGCGTGGTGGAGGCAAGATAAAGAAAACAATAATATATTATCTATCTAAAAAGATTTTGAGTCTAAAAATGCTTCACATACTTTGCGGTGGACACGAAATCAGTCAGTTCTCCGTCATCTCTCTCCAATTGTTCGAGGGTGCGCGCCTCGCCCGTCGATTGCAGACCTATGACGACACATTTGCCATATTTGATAGCTTCGCGCGCCACTTGCACCGCATGATTGACCTTCGCCGCTATACAAAGGTATTTGAAGAAACGTTGGTGGGAGGACCAAAATTGGCCCCACATGGTCTTTTTCATGCGGCTCTCGGCGTCAATGAGTTCAGCGGCTTCGGTGAATTTTTGCATGGCCTCAACCCACTAAAGGAAGAGCAGAAAAATTTGATACTTTCTAGTATTTTTGAGGGAAATAAGACGAATTTTAACTTACCAATTCCACGGACTGATCATATACTCTGCGAAACTCCTTGGACAAGGCGACCTCCTCAATTTTGAAGGTCACGCCGTGGAAGCTAAGCTGACGCGCTATATACATGCCACGCAGTTTCATGTCCATAGCGACAATTTCCATAGCACCGACGCCACTGTGGGTCGAAAAATTCACATATTAAAAAAAATTGGAAAATAATTTAAAATAAATATGCTTTGAATTGTTTTGTGGAAAAAGCATTAGCTAAGCTTAAGCCGCCCTCTTACCGCTTCTCCACCGCTGTGATGAAATCGCTGAAATTCGGAAAAGCCGTACCCTGCCCCCACAACCCCAAACGCACCATATATGCCATATTCTTGGGTTCCGACGCGCCAGTGGCCGAAGCATAAACGACACGTGCTTTTGGCAATTTATTTTGCAACTCCAAAACGGTTTGACCCGTTTTGGTCGGCTTACCCGAACCGACTGGGCACAGATTCTTCGCTTTGTGACACTCATCGAATATTATCAGACCATCAAAGTCTTCACCACAAAATTGTAGTAGTTGTTTTAAGCGTGATTTATATTTGCCAGTCTTATTATTGGATTCGCCAATCAACGCGGAATATGTGCTGAATATGACGCCGCGTTTGACGTTGTTGTTGACGTCCGAGGAGATTTTGGCATATTTGAACTGGCGGAGAGATGAATGAAGAGGAGGAGTTAGTTAATTAAAGAAAAATAAAAACAAAAACCCAATAAAAAGAAACAAGCCAGAAAAATAGTCAAAAATATTTAATAAAAATTTTAAAAATAAATAAATAATTAAATATGTATTAAAATTTAAAATATATAAAAAAAGAAAAATTGCAAAAAGGAAGAAGCCAAATGAAAAAACCAATAAAAACTAAAGAATAAATGGAAATATTTATCTTTTTAAAGTAACTCAAGCAAAACTTAGAAATTCCCACCTTATTCAGCGCGTGCACTTCAATTTTGCTTGCGCCAATATCGAGCAAATCCCGCTCAGCGTCATATCTCAAATCATTTGAGACGGAAATCCACAACGCCTTCTTGCGTCCCTTCAAATAATTCTCATAAATTATGCCCGCAATGGTACGACCTTTGCCCACACCAGCGCCATCGCCAATCAAAAAACCGGCGCGCGTGCCATCGGGCAACATGTGATCGTGCGCTTGTGAGGCGTAGGTAATGGATTCCAGTTGCAAAGCGCTCAAGTAACCGCTATTAATTGTCTCTGCTGGAATGGAGAGTTTGTAGTAAACATCACAGGGTTCGACGGAAGAGAGTGAGGCCGTTTCCACGACCGGATCGGGATGTTTTTTGCCCAATTTCACTAGATTCAAAAAAGAAAAAATAAAAAATTTCGTGAGAAATTTCATGAAAATTTTAGTAAACCGAGCGCAACTTACACTTGGCAGGCCAATACTCGGCATAAGTCTCCGCAACGCCCATTTCTTCATAATCATTTTCCTCCTCTTCGGGTGGACCCGTAGTGGTGACAGTTGTGGCGGGCGCCATCTGTGATGCAGAAAAATATTAATTTTCATTCAATAAACCAATCTAGAAGTCTAGGACATTTTTTCCCACTCACCTTCATTGGCTGCATTAACAGTTGCGCCAACAGCTGATTTGGTATGCCGCTGGTGAGAAAGGATGGATTTGCTGCAACCAAAGCTTGGATTTTCTGCATTATCAAAGCATTGGTTTTTGCTTGTGGTGTTGCGGGTGCATTGCCGCCGCTGGCCATGGGGTTGGCGGGCATACTGGATGCGGTGGTTGGCGCTGAGTCGAAGCCAAGGCCCATGCTCACTAGAGGGGAGAGAAGAGCAATACGAAAAAAGGTGAAAGACGGCGCCAAACGGATAGAAATGAAGGGTGTGCTATTTTATTTGTACTATAATTTATAATTAAACGCTACTGCTGATGAGTTTTCAAAAAGCAAATGAATTTGAAAAATAAAAGTGAAAAAAAAAACATTTTAAATATAAAAACTGTAAAAAAAAATATATAAAAAACACATACATATATAAAAAAATAAACAAATATAAAAATTTTAAAACAAAAAAAAAAATTAAAAAAAATAAAAAAAAAACTTTTTAAAACTTAAAAAAAAAATAATAAAAAATATTTAAAAAAAACTTAAAAAAATTTAAAAAAACTAAAAAAAAATTAAAAAAAATAAAAAAAAAAAACTAAAAAAAAATTAAAAAAAAAATAAAAAAATTTTTAAAACAATTTAAAAAAATTCTTTCAAAATACAAAAAGATTATAATCCTAAAAATTAATAAAAAAAATATAAAATGAAATATATAAAAACCAAAACAAATAAAAAATATACAAAAATGAAAAAACAAAATAAGAAAATAATAAAATTAGAATACTAAAAATTAATAAAATAGATATAAAAAAATATAAAAAATAATATAAAATTAAAATAAAATAAAAAATAAAATAAAAATTTATAATAATAAAACATATTTTCAGCTTGCATTAATTTAATTTGATTTTTGAGGATTTTTTTAATGTCTTGTGGGCTTTATGAATGTTATTGTTGTTGTTGTTTTCAATGTCTAGAATGTTTCGAATGTGCGAGAGTATTGAGTAAATGTTGGTGGAGTGTAAACTGAGTGTTTGGAGTTTGTTAAAATCATTAGGGAAACAAATTATTATTACAAAAAAAAATATTATATATATTTTTGTGTAGAAAAATTCAGTATAAAAAAAATGTTTGAAGTAGTATTTTTGTGTTAAACACCAATTTTTTGGACAATTTTAGACAAATCAATTAATATGCTTATTCAAAAAAAACTAAAAACAATCAGTTGCTTAGAAGAATTGTACGAAAGCCAATTAAAAAAAAAATACAAAAGGAAAAAAAATTAAAAAATTATTAAAAAAAAAAATTCCGTTTCAGAAATATAATTATTTTCAATTATTGAATTTTGTGTTAATTTTGTTTTTTAATCCAAATTTCGTTTATTAATTTTCCAGTTTTGAGGACTAAATACATATTTTTCGGTGTTTTCGAAAAAAGGAGTTTAAACTCAACAAATAATTATTTATTTTTACACTAAAAATATTTTTTTTTAAATTTTATAAATACATAATTTTTTGTTTTCGAAAAAAAATCATTTATCGCTACAGCATAACTACAGTACAGGACGTAAGTATGTAGTACAAACTCTTAAGTAGTAGTAGTAGTGTAGTAGTAGTATTTAGCATTATGAAGGAAAGAGAAAAAACGTTGTTTGTTACCAACATTACTCGACTTACTCTGCGCCAATAAAGACGCTGCCATATTCAGATTTGAGCTTGTTTGATAATAATTGCCTGCACCGACGCCACTGCCACCGCCACCACCACCGACACCAACACCGCCTCCACCACCTGCCGCCGCAACAGCAGCCGCAGCCAAGGCGGCTGTATTGCTGGTGACGGTATTGGGCAGCGGCATGTTAAGACCACCACCGGGCACGCCGAGTCCAGCTGCTAGCAAAGCGCTCAGGCCACCGGCTGCGCCGCCGAGCGGACCACCGCCCACACCGCTGCCACTAGCAACAGCAAGCGCCATATTCATAAGCTGACTATTGCTAAATGGCAGTGTTGTTGGCAGACCACTATAGCCGGCGGCGGCGGCAGCTGCAGCGGCACCCGAACTGCTCGGATAGGTGGACATTCCGATGGCTATTGTTTTGAAAAATTCATAATCATATACATATATATTTTTTCAAGTTGATTGATGGCATTATGAGGCATTTAGATTTGTTGATGGTGATTAGTTTGAGGTTAGGATTACATATTTGATTAGTTAGTTGTTTAATTGTACGGTTGATTGATTACAATTGATTGATTGATTGATTAGTTAGTTAGTTAGTTAATTGATTGCAGGCGTGTCAGAGAAATAAAATATAAAAGAAAGACGATACAAAAATTACACATTATACACTAGATAAATATAGAGAAAATAGGGCTGATTTGCTGTGCAAACTTTGAGGTTAGGTAATTTTTAAGGCAAATTTTATTTCAATTTCCGAGAATTCGAAATGTCAAGCCAAAAGGCGACTGTCAAAATGCGCGTGTTGCCAGAACTTAAATTTAAATTACCAATAATTTCAATATTTTTACGAGTAAATTTACCATCAAACTGTGCACAACCATTTTTTTTTTTTTTAATTATAATTCAAAATTTTTTTCAGCATGCTTAGCCCAATTTTTATGCTACCTTAAGCTAATTTGCACGTTTTGCAATATTTTTTTTTTTTTCACAATAAACTCTCGCCGCCAGTGGAGCGAGCCGTGCCCTTACCTGCCGGTGCTGCTGTAGGTTTTTTTGGCATATTATTGTTGTTGTTCAGCAGTGAAATGCCACTGCTTGGTATTGGTTTTGCTGTTGTCGCTGTTGTTGTTGTTATTAATGGAACGTTATTTGTACGCGTTTGATTAATTGTTAATAACGAATTATTATTATTACTAATATTTTTATTATTATTGCTAATGAGGCTATTGCTGGCGCCTTTGTGTCCGCTGTTTTTCGCATATATAACCGCGGTTTGTAGATCACGACCCCCACCTAAACAGAAGAGGGTAGAAGGAAAATAGAAAAAAATTAGTTAAAAAAATTATTCAATAATGCAATGCAATGCAAAAAAAGTGCTTTGAAATCGTTAGAAACATCAGAAAATGTTCGAGTCACAAAAGAGTTATCCCTTCCTTTCTTACAAAAATTTCGCTACAATTCTCAACCGAGTTGCGAAATTCGGGAAAACCAAGTTTTCGAACTATGCCACCTGGGATCTATGAATTTCTGCAACGAAACCCCTTCAAAACCATTCAAAAATCTGTCACACCCCCAAGTACAACCTTCTCCCACGACTTCAAGTGAGTGAACATGAAAAATTCCTTTTGAAATTTAGGCAAAGTGGTTCAGTGGCCGTGGTTTTAAGTCCCATCAAAAACTAGTGCTCAAACCTTCTCTGGTGATCTGAAGCCAAATATTTTTATCGTTGACCAACTCAACTCAGACGTGGATATGTGTACAGTCGGAACAAGGTGGCCGAGTGCGCGAAATGTGTTTATATTAGAGCTTGAAAAAAAGTCTATGAGACACCTTCTCATTCCAACCAACTAATCATGAAACACATACAGCGGCAAAAACGCTCTAGGAAACCAAAAAACCACTGCCGAAACACACAGAGGCATCATGAAAAATAAAATGTTTTCTACTCACACCAGATACGAAACCTTAGACATCACTCAAATGTAATATAATGGTGTCGAGTGTACAGCGAAAGGGTTTGATGTGCTGACCAACGGGGCTCTTACGGCTAATTGGTGAAGACGATCGACATTGATTTAGTGGCAAAGAGTGTCAAGTGCCTGGCAGCAAAGAAAGGGGAAAGATTGAAGAGCTAATCGTTCATCTGCGATTAGAGGACAACAATATGCTGTCCAGATGTGTAGAGTGAGCAATCATCGGCATTTGAGATCATTGAAGCTCGGCTTGGGAAGTGGAGCGAGCTTCGAAAAGTAGAAATTAGATATTTGTGCGGAGAGAACATCACATTGTGGAACAACTTATTTTCTTTTTCCTGCTTGCCGACAACCAAACCACGCAGTCAAGGGTCACGGTCATGGTGGTAATGAGATGCCCTCAATGTCGGTAAGTGGCACTGAACACAAACTGTGTTGCAAGTTCCCAACAAGTTCAGTGCTATGAGCACAGTTCGTGCATAAGGTGGGATTTGGTCGGGGCCACCGGTGGGATTATCTGAGTTTTTATAACGTTTAGTGAGATCTCAGACTTTACAGTGGCTGGGCACTAATGGGCCGTTCCTGCGATTACTGATCCGCAGCAGATTTAACGCAAAGCATTTGGGTGGAATTTTCTTAACCAGCCAAGTGCGGTAACTCTTTCGACGATTCTAATCACACTTAGTTGAGCTAGTTTTCAATTTCAGTATCGCGCCCTGAGAGAACGAGCACACAAGATGCTGAAGGCCAACAAAAAATGTGTGCTGATCAGCTGATTTGCAGTCAGCGCACAAAAATTGGCTAACAAAATACTAATAATGGACAAAAGTAAAACATTCATATACATATATAAATATATATGTATGTATATATGACTTTCTCTTTTTTAACTCTCATTTTTATTTGCTCTCCACGGCAGCAAATCATATGATTATGACGCCCCCAATGGAGCAATTGGGTTTTATTTACATTTGATTTGCGCCAACAACCGACAGCCAAATGTACAGCGAGCCAAAAGCGGGAGGGAAAAAATGCCGGCATTTTTATTTGCTTTTCGTTTGGTTACTCAACACAAAACGACGCATTTTTGCTCTCATTTAGACATTTTTGCCTTTTCTTTTTTTCTTTGCTCGCCTAACAAACTACTGGTCGGGTGCAGGTGCAGGGTAAAGGGCACCCGACCAGTAGTCTTGGCAACAAAGCGAGTCGGTTGTTTGGCGGCTCGGTGGTGGGTCATTCACTGCCACTTTCGTGAGGTTGGCGGGAGCCGCGTGCGCGCAATAAACGAAATAGAAATACAAACAAAAGCAACGACTGATAGCGAGGCCGAATAAAAAAAAAAAAACAAAAACAAAACGAGTTGAGATAATGAGCGAAAAGTAAAGCACATGTTTGTGCTTTTTCTGCTGTTCTTTTTTTTTTTTTTGTGTGTTTCGTTTTTTTTATTCGTTCCATTCCATTTTCTTTCTTTTTTATATTATCCTCATACATTTTTTCCATTTTTTAGAAAGAGCGCGGGAATGTGTATTTTGCATATTTTAGCAACAAGTTTCAAATACGTCGATATGTATGTCTGTATGTCTGTATGTCTGTCAGTGGTTTGCGGGTGAGGCGGTGTTTGGGGAGGGAAAATATGTGCGTAGGGTTGGTTGTTTGGTTGGCTGGCCGAGTTTCACTTTTTTCTGTGTGTTGGCGTGTTTGCTTTGTGCATAAAGAAGGGAAGGGAACACGTTGTTTGGCTCAACACTTTTGTGGGAATTTCGTTGAAAATGTGAGTTCTTTTGTGGGAATGTTCGAAATAGCAAGAAGCAGAGGAGGGACAGTGAGTGCCGGCTGCAGCAATTCAACATAAAGTTTCTTATCTTCAGGAAGCACAAACATACATACATATGTACATATATATGCAGTTCTTGTTAGAAATATTTGAAAAAGTTGTCTACTTGAAATTTCATAATTCCCACATTCTTCTTGCAGACAATGCGACTCGGCTGGTGAGAACAAACGGATCAGCTGATTTGCTGTCAGAGCACAAAATCTCAAAAAAAAAGATCTACAAGACTTCAAAAATTAACGGTTATATCTCAACACACAACAGATAAAGGTCACGAGACTATGCTCCATTCTTCTATTGCTCTCTTCGTCCCACAACCCGGGAAAGGTGAACAAACCTTACAAGAGATGCGATATGCAATCCGTGTGGAACCTACGATCACAGCAAACGTATTATGGACCTCTGGAAATACCGGTTCCGTAAGTAGATAGATGCGATGCCCAGCTGGTTGAAGTGCTCCTAAGACTGAAAACTAATATCACCTAAGGCGATAAACGGTACAAGAACGGAAGAGCGTAACTAGATTCTTGTGACATACATATACTACAGGCGACGTATGAAGAAACTCATATTTGGTATCGGATTCGCGGCGGGAGAAAGAGAGAGAGACTCAGACGCAGTGTACTGCTGATCACCCAGGCGAATGGGCATCCATCCTTAATCTACGCTACGTCGGAGAAAACTGACAGAATAAGTGATTAAAGACGCCTTTTTTGAGCACTGCCCCCGTCACGTTGCTTGACACAAGAAAATCCAAAAAGCCACATAGCTGTTTGCAGATCGAAAATCTAGCTAGGCGGCAACATGTCTCCAAAATACCAAAACCTACTCGTGCCAACATCATTAGCAGAGTACAAGCAAAAGGAAGATTCGACGTCAATTAACTGTAACAGACTAAAATCACGTACGTGCATGTGGTACGCATGGTTGTTAAGAAGAAACTCATGGAATGAGTCGAACAAAAGAACGAATCGAAGAGGGAATCTTTTGGGGAACACGATTGAAGATCAGCTAGAGTCTTGATGTTTTTTTTAACAACTGTCCCTACCTACAATTCATACTCAGCCTCCTCCGAACGGCCGACGAACTATTATAAGGAGCTTTTTTCATTTCATGTCAGAGATACGCTTGGACTGCTTGACATTAGCCGAACCATGGCTGAAAGCATCTCAAAGCGGTAGACTCATCCAAGCCAAACATTAACAAGTCGTGGATAAACTCTGAACAAAACTCGCAAATAACCGATTAACAATTATGAGACCAACAAATACCATCCCTGACCTTGCCCATGAACACGTTTAAAATGTCAAAAGTCCTTAACGCTTACGGAACATAAAAAAGAGGAAGTATAAAAAATGTCTGAACAAAAAACAACGTGTTTCCCAATTAATATCTACCTCTTTTGCCCACCTACAGGCCACTCACTCACTCTTGTTGCGGAAAGAGAGAGAGAGAGAGAGAACACGCCGCTACGCGCTTTTTAAGTTTACATAAAAATGACGCCATCAACAGCAGAGGATTTTTTGTGATTTTTGTTTCTGCCGCACATTTTTTAATTTCATTTTTCTCTTTTTCTTTGATTTTCGTAAATGTGAGATGAGTTAACTAAATTGGCTCACACGCTAACTAGCCCCTCAGCCCGCTAGCCGGCCAGCGGCCAAGCGAAGCAGTCAATCAAAGCAGGCACGTGGTCAGACTTAGGTCATTATCTTTCAGTTTTATTTTGATTTAGATTTTCATTGCTGCGCGTTTTTATATGAAATGGCATGCAGCATATGACAGGGTAATTAAAAATTTAGAAGAAAGAAAACGAAAAATTAAATTAAAAAGAAATAAAAAATGAATTTCATAAAAAAAAAGGTTCATTCACATGTCTGGCGCTGAGCCAAAGAGGCGGAGGAGGCGAAAGAGCAAAAACCCAATAAAACAATTCTCACATGTTGCGGCATCTAACGACAACAAGCTTATGCTCTGGTGTGTGCGTAATGCGCGTAGCGATGGTCAAGCGGAAGCAAAATAAAGCTAAAAAAATCGGAAAAATGAAGAGCGGATGGAAGCATGCTTTTAAGGAGAAGTGAGTGGGGGGTATTTGTAGTGACGGCAGTGTGTTAATGCACGTGGTGGGCAAAAATAAGCACTGGCGATTTGCCACCGACAGAAGACAGCGTAAATTTGTTAGAGAAACTTAAGCAAAAACTAAGCAATAATAAAACAAAATTAAAGAAAAAAAAAATGCGAACGAAGAAAAGACGGGAAAAACGACAGAAAATAAAATAATAAAAGAAAATTACATAAATATTGCCAAAATTAAATTTACTAAACATTGAACAGCGTAAGAAATTTGCGAAACAGAAATAGTTAAATAAACGAGATAAATTTAAAAAAATTTAATAGTAAAATAAAACAAATAGGAAATAAATAAAATAAATAAAAAATTTAATAAATACCTTATGAAAATAAAATTAAATTAAAATTCGTTTAAATACTAG